CCGAGGCTACCGAGGGTAGCAACAGCGAGAGTAGTTCTGCGACTGCAACACCAGCTAGCGCCAGTGGCGCTAGCGCTGAGGCTAATGGTAGTGAGGGCTCTTCTGCCGCTGCAACTACCCCCTCAACTGCTACTGGGGCAAGCGCGGAAGCAAATGGTAGCGAGAGCTCATCTGCTTCTGACGCTGGCAGTGTTGCTTCTGGAACACCATCTGATATCAGCACCACCGGTGCAAGCGGCGACGCCAGTGAGGGTGCCTCTGCTTCTGCCACACCTTCTAATGTCAGCACCACCGGTGCGAGTGCCGAAGCTAATGGTAGCGAGGACTCCTCTGCTTCTTCCGAGGCTAAAGCTGTCGCTTCTGCCACCCCATCCAGCGTCACTGGTGCAAGCGCCGAGGCGAATGGAAGCGACAGCGCCTCTTCGAACGCTGCAACCACGTCCAATGTGAGCGGCGCCAGCACACAATCCGGTGATGATGAGAGCACCCCAGCATCTGCTGTGGCCAATGCCGGTTCTTCTGCTACGCCTGCCTCCGTTAGTGGTGCAAGTGCGGAAGCTAATGGCAGTGAACAAAGCGCTGCTGCGGCTGCTTCAAGTGTCAGCGGGGCAAGTGCTGTGGCTAATGGTAGCGAGGGAAGCTCCAGCCAGTCGTCGGGGTCCCACGCCGGATCTGACTCCTATGGATCTGTCCCCTCAAGTGCTGCTGCATATGGCAGACCTGCCCCCAGCTCGTCCAGCCATGCATTTGCCACCGTACCCTCTTCTAGCGGATCAATCCGTAACCCAACCTCTGCTGCCGCTGCCAACAATGCTGCCGCTGCCACCCAGGGCAGCTCTGCTTCCGGATCTAAGTCCGGCCACTCTGGCTCCGGTTCCTCGTCTGCTACTACCCCCTCAACACCTGTCTTCACTGGTGGAGCAAACAAGTTGACTCTTGGTGCCTCCAGCGTTGTCGGTTTCTTTGCTTTTGCTCTGTTGGCTTAGCGGGCGATTTTGGTACTTTGTGAATTACCCACATCCATTCTGCTTCTTTCACATCTCGTAGGGAGAGACTTTGTTTGCAACCTACTGTTTTTTTATGTACTATAGGCTGGTTGCCTTGCTTGAAGCATTCCACTTGCCATCCTGGTCCACACCCTTCGATCGCGTTCGATATCCGCCTTCTTTCGGCTATACTTTGAGATTCCGAGCTTAGATAGTTAATCAAATAGCACAAGATACACTATCCATGATTATGTTGGAAGATTAATAGCCGAGTACTCAATAAACCATAGAATTTGTAGTATCCACTTGTTTTATGCGATCTCGTCATGTGACGATAGTGACGAAATGAGCAACGGTGTCTGAATCGTCACTTCCCCAGTTGTCAACCACTGCACCACTTCTTACAATCATCTCTCTTCGTCTTCTCCATCGCTGATACTAGTTTTTCTTTGTCTCTGTGATCCAGAGAGTTCCATGGTATTACATTTAATTATCTCGAAAGTTCATTGTAAGATTGATGAATTAAACTGCTAACTCCAAAGCCAAATGTGGTATCTAGAAGATCGTGAACTATTTACAGACAAATATCGACATGAAGAGATCACCGTAGTCTCATAAGTCCTCTAAGCAGACTTCCATCGCTTCAACCAGTCCTGCGCGTACCGAGTGAGGATACCATCCTGTACAATCCTCAACCGACCATTCCTCAACGTCATACTGTCTCTCTCTGCTTTCTCAGTGAGAAACCTCACCGGCTTCGGGGCGCCCTCACTGTACATTGACTCATAATGAGCCGTCAACTTCACAGCAGGGTTGATCATTTCCTCTCCTCGAGCTTCACTTTCGCGAAGCATCTGCAGCCAGTTCTCAAACGGGACGGTCTCGAATGAGAATCCGCTGCGTCTAAGTGTATCGAGCAAAGATGACCATGTGAAGACGCGCGAGTTGCAAAGGTTGTAGATGGTGTCGTCGACCCACTCGCCGGATGCTGTGCTGTCCCAGCGCTCCTCGAGGGAGTTGAAGGAACATGCACGGGCTAGTTCAAGCATGGAGCAGGCAAGCTTGTCGACGGGTAGCCAGGAGCATGTGATGTCGTGGTCAGGCAAAGCTTTCAGGGTCAGAGCTGAACGGATCATCAGAGGGATGGCCTCTGAGTCGTTCCATAATCCCTTCTTTGAGTGGCCGGATACTTGCCCGATCCGAAGGGAGTATGTGCGTGCACCAGCTCTGCGAGCATTGCTGACGATCTTCTCCCCGATCAGTTTTGAGCGTCCGTATCCCATCTCAAGAGCGCTAGCAAGATCTTCGATGGGGGTCTCGTCTACGTCGGACGAGGCACCGAGAGCTGTTGAGATAGAGGAGCAGAAGAGGAGAACTGCTGGTTCAGGGAGGTTCACGGATAGGGAGAGGTTGATGAGGTTTTGGAGTCCTTTGATGTGAGGCTCGAAGCTCATGAGTGGAAGGTTGAAGTTGACGGGCCATGCGGTGTGGATGATGAGAGACACGGATTGTCGCATCTCCGCCATCATTATCTCACCGACTCCCAGATCAGGCTCTTCAAGAGAGCTGTTGAGAGCGACAATCTTCTGCAGTCGGTAAGGAAGGACTGAGAGGCCTTTCTGTGCGAGGGTGTCAATGACAGCCTTTTTGGGCTGAGATCTCCGTGTCAGGCAGTACACGGCAGACACGCTGTCGTCGTTCAGAAGCTTGTAGAGAGTGTGAGCGCCGATAGAACCAGTTGCTCCAGTGAGGACCTGCGCTTGTTAGTTGACGACTCGATACAGCTGGCCAGGATAAAGACTTACAACACTCTTTTGCGTTGCTACGGAGCTGGGGCTTGGTGTGTGCCTCTGGAAGACGGAGTATTTTTCAATGAGTCCTGGCATCATGGAGACTTCATCCTCAGCCACATCTTGCTGACCGGACTGAACCAGGTGGATATGCTCTGCTAAGCGGACAATATTCCCAGTTTCAAAAGCGACATTGTGGCCGATGTCCTTGGGGTCCTCTACTTTGAAGTCCCTCAATATTAGGCGACGGAGATGGATTGCCTTCAGGCTGTCTAAGCCTTCGGCGAAAAAGTCGGAGTTAGGAGTAGAGATGGGGAATCCAAGCTCTTCGTGACAGAGCTTGATCAGATGGTTCTCCGTTGCGGTCAAGTCCAGCTTGAGAGTTCCGTCGGCTGTTTGTTCGAGTTTCGTATACATGTTCTCGATGGTTTCTTCATACTTGGCATATACCTGGGCTCTGATCATTGATCCCTTGTCTGTACGAGGACAGGCGCAGTCAATAGGCAAGACAAGGATCATGTCGCGGGATATTTGAGAGAATTGCTCTGCCCGTGAATTGGCATCTTCCACTGTTGGCCAAAGAAGATCCAAATACTCTTCATCAGAGAACATCTGGGAGTTTTCTGTACGGAAAACCAGCAAGCCAGGAACGGCTTTGTTGACACCGACAACAACTGCTTCCTGAACCAGAGGGCTCTGCTTGATGCAGCCCTCGATTGGGAGAGGAAGGACCTTCTCACCATTGACAAGCGTGATTCGGTCATCCAGACGCGACACGTACTTCCATCGGTCGGCAAGAGTTGGGTGGGGAGTGAAGACGTCGCGAGAGTGGTATGAGCCAGGGGGCTCATTGGAATTTGAGGCCGTCAATGCAGGGTGGCCTTTGAGGTAGACGACTTCATAGAGCGCGTCACTGATGGGTTTCATCCAGATGAATGGCTTGATGTTGTCGAAGAAGCGCATATAGTTCCAGAAGGGATCTCCTGCTGGCCGAGAGATCGACTCGGCGACCAGGCCGGCTTCCGTTCTAGAAGCGAGTTAGCAACACAACTAGCTGAGAATGCTGGTGGATACATACAGCCCGAATGAACCACCGAATCTAACACCCTCGTCTACAAGTCTATCACCCAGCTCGTCAGGGCATGGTGCACCACCATATGTGACAGACTTGCAAGCTCTCAGCGCTTTTAGCCCGCGTGGGCTGTCGACAAGGAGTTGGAGTAAGTATGGTACGCCCTGGACCGATTCGGGTTGTGCTGCTTCCAGCGCAGCAACGGCCGTACTTGCGGTCAATGGCAGAGAGGCATCCCACATGTATGCTGTTCGTCGCATATACATGGCTTGCAGGGCTGTAGATAGCCCGTGAAGATGATACCATGGCAATGAATTGAAAGAAGTGAACCCAGGACCCCGCATCGGATGCGTCATCAAGGCTTTGTGACTTAAGAAGAGAGGCTTGGGGGTACCTGTTGACCCTGAAGAGTGCAGGATCAGAGCAATCTTTTCGACCTGGAGTTCGGGACGACGACTCCGACATATCACAACAGCATCAGAGTCTTCTGATAGGTCCTCTGGAGAAGGTCTTTCGATGATTGGGCGACACGCAATTAACTTTAGGCGAAGGACTTCACCCATTGTGGCGCGAATATTCGGCGATTGGCCATAAAGTATTGTGTTACAACCGACCGTGTCTAGTAAGGACACACACGCTGTGGCCGATAGGCGTGGTGATAACATCATGACCGTATATCCGAGCCTGCTAAGAGCAAAGAATGTGATCACCATGTTGAGATCTGATAGGGTGAAGAGAGCAACTGTTGCTCCTTCTTTTCGGGCCTAAGAGAGGGTCAGCTTCACACTTGATCTGCAGCGTTTCATTGCATACCGGCTTGAAACCGTAGTCCATTAATGTGCAGACCGCATAGTCGATCATGCAGTCAAGATCCTGACCGTTGAAGTACTCATAGGACACGGATCCGTTTTGAGAGGGCTTGGGATAAGCCAAGATGGGATGTTGAATATAATCAGCTGCTCGCAGGCGAATCAAGTCATCTAAGAGATGAAGACGGCCGAAGCGTGCAACAACCTGGTCTGTGGTGTTTGTTGTCGCTTTGGGGGCCTGGTCTGTGACCCCTTCATACTGAGGAATTCCCATGATGAGAGTTGACGAAGCTGTACATCAGATAAACCTGAGGTGCTGATGTTGGGGGGAACCAGGGCCTATTTAAGTCCAAGAGCCAGGCTGAGGTGGGTAGATACATCGACCATTTTTGCTATTTCGCCTGGAGGTCGGCGGAGATGAACCGAGTCCGGACCTAGGAACAGTCGCGGCCTGTTGGTTCCCACAGTTTGGGTTTCCTATCCCTGCACAAAACGAAGCGGTGTATGACTAGGAAACGCAAACTGTCAGGCTGATGATCTCCACTGGGAATGACGTCCCCTTAGACACTAGGACCATCAGGAGAGTTGATTACAGGGGCCACTACGTATGCGAACTGTGGCAAGTCCTAAAGCTAATCAGAACCCTAAAGCCAGCACGGGCCCAAATCTGGCCGGACCATGGATGCACGATCGCGATCAGGTGCTGTCAAATCAAGGAACAGAGCTGGCCTGATTTGGTCTGGGATGACACCAATGCTCCTGCCTGTCCGTGCGATGGTCCAAGCTGACTGGATGACAGCGCGCGGGTGCGGTGAAATTTGTCAGTCACACTGCAGCAGATGATGCACGAGCGGAAGCACAGTTCGCAGCATGATGGGCTGGTTGCATAATGTTGCATCCCGCGACATAAGGACGACCCCAATAGTGCAGGGATTGTCAACAATCAGCGTCCATCCAGCCGAGGGACTAGGGCAAGCTAGGATGAACTCCCGCCCCAGTAACCGGGTTCCCGGCCCAGGAACCTGGATCGCGCCCTCGGGAGTGGAAGATCGATCGCTGATCAGCTTTTCTTACAGAGACAGCTAAGCAGTGGACAACCCCTCTTTGCTTTGTTTTTCCTCTATATTTGTTTTTTTTCCTCCTCGGCTTTGTTCGCTCCCTAGCCTTGGGGTTGGGACTTTTGGGGAGGGAATGCGAGGCCCGACGTCCTCTCAGGCTGACAAATGCCCACCCTTCCCAAAATAGAGTGTCACAGCAAAATTGGCTGGGGATGCTGTCTCCACCGACAAAAGACGATGTACCCGTGCAGAAAGCCATGTCCGAGTACTCGTGTTCAACCTTCCTCGATGGCCTGTTTCTGACCTGTCTACTGGAGTGGGGCCTTAAGAATATGGCTGTCGCACACTTCAGCCCCGAACTCGACGACCCCTTGCACTGTCAGGAAGTACGGAATACGGCGGACAGTGAACTCGTCTCACGCCTGCACCGCCACCCGAGATGGCTTGGAATTGAATTCGTTAGTTTAGGTCGAGTCATTTATTGTCTTACTAGCCATAATGGCCGCCCTTCAAGTCGACGCACTGGCCCGTGCACCGGACTTCTGCAGCTGGTACTTTTCTCCTTTGCATCCATCAAAGCCCGGTTTTTGGCCAGTGCGGACCGTGCGAATATCCGCAATACCGGAGCGAGGTGCTCGATTGACAAATTCTCCGCCTCACTCCTGCTCAAATTTCTTTTCTCCTAATATTACGCTCTATATGATTATGACTTCGATATTGTTTCTGGATTTGAAGTTGGTTTCACATACAATGCCTGCCACTGGAGCTAGAAGATTCTGCAACACGGTAGCCCGATCATTGATCGATTCTGCTCTATCAATAGGTCCAAATTCCCATCCGATCGGAACGCCACGAGCTGACTTCGGGTGGGTCAAACCAAGCAGTACTTCTTACGATGTGACCTGTCCGACGGAGGCAAAAGTCCTCTGTGACTTGCCGGGAAGCGCCCTCTAGATATTGCCGCTGTTGAGGTCTCACCTGGCACATAGTACCACCCGATGGGGCCCCGGCGCTACGATAAAGGTATGTTCCCATAACTTCCGTCCAAAGTGGAGCGACCTGGGCCGGGAGGTTGATCCGCCGGTAACATTGCAGGTTTGGGATTTAGTTGCCATGAGGTGCAGACTGAAGGCGTCAATGCTGTCAGTATCCATTGTGGTTGGCCTATCGACTGCTTTCACCTGCTTTTAGCCGCTCACCGAGTCTTACACAAGCACCCCTATCGACAATGCCGGCTATCCGATCCGCCACCCTAAGCCGGGGAGCTGGAAAAAAAATGACCAATATTGGGTTACCAGCGCATGATATATCCAATCTCCCGCCTTTTATTCCTGAAATAGTGCGATAATTCGTCACGATTGGCTGGTCCGTGTACCAAATTGCAGCCGGGATTTTAACGTAAGGCGGAATTGTTGAGCGATCGACGGTCTAGCCCAACTAACCACCCTATAGCTCGCATCAATGGACATTCAGGACAGATAAGCACCTTTGTGTGTGTGTAGTCAAGAGTCCGATTCAACTAGCTAAGGCAGAAGCGCAGTTCCTCCCCGATGCTTGGGCCATAACAGTAACATCGATAAAAAAGCAACAACTAACACTTGACACTACACGGTAGAATGACTGGACCGGGGAGTAAACAATGATCTACGCGGGTGTCACCACGGCCGGTTTCCATACTGTTGGTATGACCCTGCAGTTGTTCATTCAATCTGTCGCCTCACTCCATACTTATGAGGTACTAGCACCAGGACTAGCGACAATATCATTTGGACCCGAGACTGCGATACTGCGATCGCAAACGTGTCGGACAAATTCATAGCTTCGTCGATCGTATTGCACACCACGCTCAGACTTTTAGTTAGATGATGATACGCTTGCCTCACTTGACGGCGATAAGCACGGACCTGGAGTCTATTTTGCGGCCAGTCTAGACCAGACACCAATCGGATTCCAGATACAGGTCTCTACCCAGGTTCCTGGAACGGATCCGTATGGTTTAATATCGCAACAGTGCCGGAATACTCGATACACCATCCGGTAGGAGCGCCTGGTTGAAACATTGGCTCTAGTAGCAGACCCCGAGGAGGGGTTGCTTCTTTGTTGCTATGTTGGGCACATCTGTGTGGTCAGACCAGACGATCTTACCTAGCGATCTCCGCGTCGGACAGACAGCTAGTGGGAGCCATAGCTTCATACATAAAGCACACACGTACATACATACATACTTACCGACGTACTGACTCTGGAGGAGCTTGGGCCAGCCGGAGCGGTGGCCATCTTACGGGGTCTGACGGACATTTAGCATTTAGTACTTTCGGAGTGGCGTTGTGGCGCTGGTCCAGGAACAGGGTAATCGGGAGGCCCCAACCCAGCGGTACTGCGCATCTATCTAGCGGGAAAATCTCTTACTGAGTGTGTCTTAAACAATGGGCGGAGCAGCCCGGATTACGACAAAGTTCTGCATATGCGCCAGGATTCATTGAACTTTCATCAGGAGGAGGGGAGCAAAGCCCGTGCGAAAGTGACCCCAGGCTATTGAAAGCCATTGCCACAGATAGATTGGGCGTCCCGTAATGGGAGGAGGCTCGTCAGCTGGACCACAAAAAGTAAAAGCCTGGGGAGAATAGTCGGAAAAGATACGGCTGGACCATCTCCAACCTCTGCCCCGTGCGACGTGATTCATGCGGCGATACGTCTGCTACTGCTATTGTGTCATGATGATCTGGGGCCTCGCCCGACAATCTGCATCCGGAACTATTGGAAAAGCATCGACACAAAGTCCCAGATTGAAGTGTCCTGCAATTATCCTTGCCTTGGAGTCCCGGCGGATGCGACCGGCCTGCCAGGCTTGCTTTTTCCAGGAGTCCGGGTACGGGCATCATTGCGCGATTGGCATCCTTGCTGATTGATCGACTGCTTGAATTATTGGATTAATCCAGTTCTGGGTCGGTTTTCTGTCCCGCGGAAAGTGCTATATAATCCCTTAACCTGCATGTTGTTTCACCGCTGCTACATCTTTGCATCTCACGCATTCCCATACTACCCAACTATAGCATAGTCTTCTGTATCCTCTCACATTTACTACTTTGTATGATAAAGATGGCTGTCGACCAGTCCAAGGTCCTCTCCCTAGTGGAGACCATCAAGCAGACAGCATTGCAGGACCAAGGTGCATGCCGCTCTGCACAGTCGCATTTCCAGCTGCTCGGCTTGATCGACGAGCTGCGTCTTGCAGTTGAGACTCCTACGGAGACGGTGCTGCGCTTGATCTACCAGGTAAGTTGCTTCTTTCCCTTCCGCTCAGGTGATTATCGCTTAACGTGCATGCAGCCACCGCAAAATGCAGCCCTCCGCACCGTTATGGATCTCGGTATCTTCCCATTGTTGGTGGAGCAAAGCAAGCGCGGGATGTCAGGTACAGAGCTGGCGGCACAAACTGGTGCTGAGCGCGGATTAATTGGTAAGATGATCGCCAAAGTCTTCACGGTCTCTGCTCATACCTATAGTCCGTCTGATGCGAGTCATGACCGCACTGGGCTTGTGCGCAAACCCAGAATCCGAATTATACATTGCGACCGACAAGACTGTCGCACTCACTCGACCGATCGGAAGAGATGGCATTCCTTGCATGTAAGTCGCTAGATTGATTACCTGCACTATTGCATGCAATATTGACGGCATAGATACGATCTGACTCTTCCCACTCTCGCTAAACTTCCTGACTATTTTCGGGAACACCGCTACATCTCCCCAAAGGAGTATGCCCGTTCACCCATGCAATGGGCAGTCGGGAAGAGCCAGTTTGAATGGCTTGCGCAGAACAAGCACCGCCAATCGCTCTTCAACTCGTACATGTCTAGTCGTCGTCATGGCAAACCGAGCTGGTTTGACGTGTATCCCGTCGAGCGATTGACAAATGATGCCGTGGACCACCAGGAGGCTGTTTTCCTCGTCGACGTAGGCGGCAACCAAGGCCATGATCTGGTGAAGTTCCAGGACACGCACCCCGAGGTCCCTGGCCGGCTCGTCCTACAAGATTTACCCAAGGTGGTGTCTCGCTGTCCTGGGGGGAGAATCGAAGGAATGGGGTACAGCTTTTTGGACCCACAGCCTATCAAGGGTATGCAATATTTCTCACGGACCTTCAATCGTTTCACTGTCAAGCTAACAGACACACAGGCGCAAGAGCATACTACTTCCGTGCTATTTTCCATGACTGGCCAGACCACATCTGCCGCAAGATTCTGGTTAACACTATCTCTGCCATGGATCCTGAGTACTCCCGCATCATCATTTCTGACTTTGTTCTCCCGGACACGAATGCCCCGCTCCTGCAGTCATCGTTGGACATCCAGATGATGAGCATCGGCTCGGGGGTGGAGCGCTCTGAACGCCAGTGGCGCGAGCTGCTCGACGAAGCGGGATTGGAAATCACTGGCATTTGGAACAGTAACCCGGGGATGGAGTCTGTGATTGAAGCCGTATCCAAGCGAAGCCAGCGCTGTTCCAGTCCTTGATGGCGTAACCTTGATACATGTTCTTCGGCGTTGGATCTGTCATATTGTCTGTGCGCTTTCTGGTTTGAGTTTCGTTTAGTTTCTTAGATATCCCAGTGGTGGCTAGCTGATTCGTTTCTGGTTGTTAATAATATAATGTGATACGAATTCATCAATCCCTTACTTGAAGCATCTCTTATTGAACCTTTCTTAGTAATAGTCACCATGTCACGGCTGACAGCTGAACTACCAATTTCCCGGCCGTGTGTATGTGGGGGGGATATACATATGTCATGCAATAAATGACTGAAACCGAGCCCCCCTTGCCGATAAATAACCTTTTTTTTTTTTTCATATTTGTCTTCGATGAATTCTGCAGCTGCAGAACCCCGTTAGGTGACAATCTCACATAATTGCATACGCAGTTATGTTATAGAAGATGCAAGAAGCTAAAGTTTATTTATTTTTATACTACTAGTATATCCCTTGCCCCTCCATTCCCCTCATCTCGCTAGTATATTCGACAGCTTGAGTCATAGATTTATCCTATATCCCGCAGGCGTGCATGCATATATCGACATTGTATTTCCTGCACGATTGCCGTTTCAGATGCACGGGATGGGGGGTTGGCGTGCGGTGTCATATTGAAGGTAACTTTATGTTCTGGGTGCGGTTGGGTTCCGGTTGGGATTGTGGTTTGGGAAATGTGATGGTGATGGTGATGGTTTCACCGCTAGTATAGAGTTTCTTTGTATGAGCATACCAGTAGGTTCTTCTAGTTATGAGTGTGATGAGCCTACTCCTATAGTAGATTGACATATAAATGTGGCAGAGGGTGTCGTGGTCACAGTTACACAGATGCAGTGTGTTCAGTTGAAGTTCTTTGTGCATTGTTCGGTAGTGTCCTGTCTGTGGATATATATCATGTGTTATATACCGTGATCCTTGCCCATACTATAGAACCAAGTACCAATAAAGCCACTGACTAACGACCAACAAGATGAAAAAAAGATGAATAAGAGTAAGAAGGTAATGTCCCCCTCCAACTCAACTACACATACTGAGAGCTAACCATCACTCACTGGTTTAGTAGTTTACTGTAGGAACCATTTCTGTCACCCTGCTCAAAGGCGGTCAAAAAACATACAGATTGGGAGCTCAGTTTTTCGGAGCTGTACGAAGAATATATCCGTTTATAGCCGTTTATATCCGCGCTTTTCGTTGCGAGGTCGATCGAGTTCTGCCGCTTTGGGCGGTAAAGAGAGCGGTCGGAATGGGCAGTAAGTACTTTGCTATCGTGGGCGGCTTTCTCTTATTGGAGAGAGTGAGATAGTAGTCGGATGGACGGCGTTGATGACATGATTATTGTCCCAGGGGAAACCTGTTTACTTTTGACTGAACTAAACAATCCATCAGATGACATGGTTCTCTTTCTACTTTTAGTTACCCCTTGGACCTGGTTATCTGAACCGTGCATCATGGTCTTGGCCTAAGGCGTGCCTGGTTTCTTGGAGTTGGTTCTATCTATTCGGTCACGTCCGTGGATTGACTTTGTGGCTATGCTTTCATTCTTGCTTTTATTTTACCTTGGGATTTGTGTTATATCATGGAGGGCCATGAGGGTTGGTTTGGTATTCTTCTGGTTTACGAACGCTTTCTTCTGGTGTCCTTATTGGTTGGGTTTGGTACGGTAGTGGTACCTTCTAAGCTTCGAGCTTTAACCTTGTGGCTAATTCTATTCCTCAGAGCTGAGGCTGGTGGTGATTGGCTGGTTGGTGGCTCCGAGTGTTCCTTGTTTTCTGGTGTTGTTGTTGTTGTTGCTTGTTGTTTAGGCTGTCGTTCGGTAAGGCGAATTCTGAGCAAGACGAGGTAGGTCGGTAGATATGATGGTTCCCTCTTATACAAGCTATATCTCTCCATCATGGGATCCACTATCAGGTGGCAATCACCGATAGGTTTCCCTGATGCCGTCTCCAACCATAACCTAGTACACTCCCTGTCTTCTTTCACATACCCTAGTAAATCACTGTTGTGTCGGATTTCTGCGATACTCTCCCATAGCTTTACCATTGTTAGTATCTTGAGTAGCCTATATGATTCCGTACACCCTCTTCCGCAGGAAATATCTGCACCCTATAAAATTTCGTTCGGCGTCTTCTCGACGGTTTCATAGCGATCCGTGATCAGCGTGCCTATTTAGTACGTTGCGGCGCAGGGGTGATTCCATGTTAGAGGTAAGAGATCTCGGAGCCTTTGTGTATGTTGGAGGGGCGGTGTTGGTAGGTATAGCCTATTTATTTACTTTGTCCGGTCAGTTATAATGATTCCAGCGTCTATTGCTTCCACAGTAAATATTGGGGCCATGGGGTAGATAGGTGGGAGTAACACACCGAATCCACTCCAGACGCGAGTGCATGATTCTGCGATCTGGCGCCATGGCTTTTGCAATGAATAGGCTTAATGTCCTCTGGTGTATGCGACACCAGCAAAGAACGTAGGATGAGGTATCATTGCTGGAATTGAGATGCTAGAAGAAAGGGCCACTTGAAGTCATGGTATGAAGGTGTCCTGATGGATGGCTGCTAGAAATAACACTGTAGCAATGCCCGCACCAATGATAGTATACTCAGCGGCCAATTTGTAGATATCCATTGTATATTGGGTGTACTTGGGTGATCCTTCGGGATGAAGGTAGAGAATGGGAGAGGTAAGGGGAGAGGTGAGATCATCGAGGACCGGTGGGTGTTTGCACTGTTTGGTCGTTCGGCGGAGGCTGTCCACTTGATGCCTGAGGAGTGAACGCCATCCTCCCCTTCTCTCTCTCACTAGTAACGAATATAATCTTCTACTCCTTACTCCATGCCTTCTGCTCTCATCGTCACACTAGAATATGGCATTGCATCAAGCAGTATACCTCGACCCATTTTAAATGGAGGATAGCAGACTTAGTAGCCATATTGCTACAACGACTGTCGCAGCGACCGGCAAGGTATCTTGCCTGAGTTGATCCATCTGATTGGCCTTGGATACCACGAGCAGCTAATATGAGGGCCGAATGATACTCAGTAAACAATGATCGACAAGCGCGTCCCACTCGATTCATGGCATCCATTCTTTGGTCCAGTCGCTAAAGTGGAGCAAAGCTAGCCAACTCAAACCGAGCTTATTACCTGGAACCATAGCATTGGGCAGCTACACTCTCTACTACACTTGATGGGAAGCGGACCATTAGCACACAGCGTTTGGGGACAATCAGACATCCCATATCAATGTCTTGATCAGGGGTGATACTTGTCGACCTCCCTTAATAGCCGACAGGATGACATTTGAGTGTCATTTGACAGCTACAGCTACAGGAGGCATAATCCATAGCACATGCGCATGCAGAGTAATACCCCAATATATATAAGAGATCACTGAGAAGAACGGCTGCGCATTAAGGTCATCCTTCCGATGTCTAGCTGATACTAACTTGAAGCATGTTCAAAGTAATTTCGACGGCTCGAAAGTAGACTGTCTTCCTTCGCCACGACTGCGCCATATGACCATACTTCTGAGACAGACAAGACTGGGCACCTCTTCCCAGGCAGGCTCGGCCGCCCTGTCGTGATATCACTACACAGACGGTTAACCTGATTACGCACTTGCACCGGAAGGCGGCCTTGTGCAGATGCAAGGCAGAGTGGCGTTGACCGACCCTGCCAATGCGAGTAGGCCAAGAGCTGAAGCAATCCTTTCGGAGTTCTCTGAAAGGGCAAATCAGTGCTGTCGTAAATACTTGGAGGCAAATTGAAGCAGTTGACTGGGTGACTTGGTGAGTCCGGAGACCCCCGTAGAAGCAGGTTACTCGGCACACGAGTTGCCTTTCTGGTCAACAATGGGTCGCTAAAACTGCCGATTGGGTTCTGCAATGAACATCGATGCATGCATATATTGTCTATAAAAATGCAGTATCACATCATGCTCTGTGATTGGTCATATTCTGCTTACTGGACGCCTGAAGATCACCAACCAGGCTCGAACACGAATTGCGCCACGATGCTGACCATGTGTCCTAGTGGTGATCTAGGCTTATATCAGACTGATTGGACTTCAGCCTTTCTTGCGATGAATGGTGATTGGATGGCTCTCTCGAGATTGACTCAAACTCAAGTGACCCCAGAGGGCCCGGTAAGGCATCGTCCGAGCACGAACTACAGCAAATTCTTGCCATTCGTCTGTCGATCAGCTGAATTCATACATGAAGCTGACTTCATGGCTTACAACAAGCTAAGCCCTGCATATGCGGTGAGTCAACCAGCCATCCTGCCAGGCTATTGTTATCCCCACAGAATCGACAGTGCCCCGACACTGCCAACTCTTTGGACACCTCAGCTGATGGTGGGAGCGGAGCTGTCAGGCAATGTCGGCCCTTTTAAGCTCAATGTCGCCCAATCTCGGCACCGGTTCTTTGAGACTCCAAGCTGCTACGAACTAAGAACAAAATGAGTCTCGACCCGTGCAACTGCTTGTGCCCGCCAGACCGTCCGACGCGAGAGCTGGTTCTCTGTTTCGATGGAACAGGAAACACGTTCCGCGTGGATGGCGGGGATAGCAACATTCTCAAGATCTTTCGCATGCTAGACCGCAAGAAGGAAAACAGATGTGAGTTACTTTGAAAACTGTACTGGACACTGGCTGACGTGATTAGACTGCTACTACCAGCGTATGTTGCCCCACTTGAGTGGTATTACCAATTATTAACATGATGACAGCCGGTATTGGAGAAGACATCAGGCCTGGGACCTTCGCCAACGCGGCTGTCCGTCCCTTTAGCAACATCGCCCCGAATGCGATCATTGATGAGGCGCTCGCGACCTCATTTGCCCAGCATGTCATCTATGGATACCGTTTCCTCGCTCGCCGCTGGATTCCGGGGTCGCACATCTACCTGTTTGGGTTCTCGCGTGGGGCCTACACGGCACGATTCCTCAACGAGATGCTTGACTTTATTGGATTAATTTCAGCCGATAACGAGGAGA